TCCCCTTTGCTCCCTGATGATTTATATTAAAGTACAACCTCTCATTGAACCAGGGACGTAAGCCAGTTTCCGGTATAACTGAATAGAAGTATATCATATCATTTTTCCCCCTGTCCAAACAGGAGGCGATTTATATCAATTCGGAGGAATTTTCTCTGAGCTCCTTTCAACCGAAAGTACAGACACCGCCTTGTTTGATTTAAAAGAGTCCTGTACAAGTGCTGTTTTTTTTTCTTGTTATTGTATATCGGTACAAAATCGTAATTGGATGATGTGTTGTCTCGTACCAATCGGCGAGTCGTGCAATCGTGAGGTCCTATCATCCCCACAATCGAATTTATTTGTCTCAACACTTTTCGATCTATGTGTGCTGAACAAAAACTTACACGGGCAATTTAAAATTTAGGTCGATAAGTTTAATTTGTATATACATATATATAGTGTTCGGTAAATTTTTTTTGTTTAAATTGACCAGTAATATTTGTATTTTTACGCCGGTCACCGCTTAAAAGTCACGGTTTTTATATATTTTTTTGTAATTAATTTTGTTTTTGTTGAATAATCTTTTTTTAATTTAACACAATATAATGTAAATTATTACAATTTTTAATTCTACAGGTTTTAGTTTATTTGGTCGTTTACCTTTTTAGGGTTTGGAACGAATGATGCGATCAGGCACATAACAAAACAGTCATTCGGATGGGGAACACGGTACAACCTGACAGGGTTGATCCTTCGCACCGACTAGGGGGTGTTTGAGGGTAGTTCGCCGTCCTGGGTTCAGCCACCGGCCGATAGGAGACACTGCCTGGAAATGACTCCCCCTTCTCGTCGGGACGAATGACGTCGTTCAGAGACAATATTCTTTATTGAACAGCTCCAGAGCTTGGGAATGCTTCAAGCGTGGTATCACAACACGGGGAGATGATGTTGAACAAAAGCGTAAATGGCAATTAAAAGAGTAGAGACTAGTCTTAACCGAAAGTCACAATATAAACTGCCCAATTTTTTATACATTGAAGTATTGAATAATAGGAATTTATCTTGAAATTTGCGGAGTAATAAACATGATTGGTTGTTTTTAATCATTAGGAGGTTTCGGCTTTTCGTTTTCAAAGGTTGTTTTAGAACGATAAAAAGACCTATTCACGTGGAAACGCACAGATCAACCTGCTATAACATTACCTGACAACGATACAAGATGAGAGGAAAACTCCATTTTGACAGACTCTTCCAAGTGTTCATATACAACACAGACCTTTGGCAGAAAGACAACCCTTAGTTCAAGAACGGGTCCTAATTCGGTATACTCATGGATCGAAGAACAGGGAGTAGGTGGTAAAAGGGATACCCTAGGACATCATGGACTGGTTCCAACTATATTCCGAGCTGAGGTCCATGCCGTCCACAGGAGTTGGTAAAGAAGAAAATGAAAGTGCACGGATCTACTCTTTCGAAAATCGGGCAGCTATAAAGACAATACATGCGTATGCTTAGTGTCCAAACTAGTCTGTGGATGCCTAATTTTTCTGATGACTCTAGGAAAACAAAGTTACTTTACAGTGGGATTTGGGGCATGAAGTTATACAAAAATGAACCAACTAGCCAAAAACGGCCATTCTCATACCTAGGACCAGAATCACAACTAGTGCACCAGAGAGATTGCTATAGTCAGAACTGGTAAAATGGCTTGTGAAAGAAAAACACAAGCACTCTAAAGCACCAGGTAGAAGACAAGAGATCTATCCTTAATCCTTAAACCTCTCAAAAAGGAAGGCAAAGGAACTCCTGTCTTTCAGGTTTGAGGAAAATTATAGGACTATACACCGGCTTAACTGTCGTATAAAAGTGTATAAAGCCGAGTAACCAGGGACATCGGCACTTTGTTAAGGCGATTCACCACCGAGAGAAGTGCGTGAAGAGGAACCGAGGGAAGGTGTTTAGTTTTATAAGAAAAAGCTCACTTTCCACGGTATGTTTTTAATAATTGGTGTTCCACAATAGAACTATTTCTGTCGCAGTGGAGTAAAGGTTGGAGTCCTTATTTGACTCCTCCCTTAAACAAGAAAAAAAAATACACTGAACGGTAATGTCCAAAAACTTATATCAAAAACAATGCGAGCACAACAAGGAAAGTCAAAAACGACCAAACCACAAATAAAGTTTCAACGAGTTTACGTTTGGGTTGGGCGAGAAGTTTCTAAATATTACGCAGAACGACCTTTTTTCTTATTTGTTCATAAACCGGATCATTTTCAGCGATGGGTTGGGACGTGATAGGACAAACGCACAGGGAAATTTACAGACCAACCACTGAAGTTGACGTCTGACAGACCAAAACAGCGAGGGTATGGCAGACTTAAACGACAGAAACCAATCGAACTACAGAAAATATCGATAAAAATAAATTATTGAAAGTATGTAGAAGAAATACAGTGGCTTAATAAGATGTGGTAAAAGATTTGAATAATTACGTAAAAATTTCTAAAAATTAATTCTATTTTTATGAATCAGGGAGAGTTAATGTATATATTTTTTTCAGACAGTCGGGACAAACGCCACACAAATCCAGCGGCCCTGCATTCGAACCCGACATACTTACGAATGAGCTTTAAAAAAACACACAGACACCCAGAGGGTTTATATGACCTCTGCTGTTGCGAACCATCCTAAAAAAATTACATATATTATTTACAATATTTACAGATGGGGAAAATCCTGTCTCTTAAAAATCGGAACAGAGGACCCAACAACCCACTCTCGTTCCCAAGAACTGTCTTTATACAAACTCGCTCCCTGCAAGGAGCCAATGTGTAGCATTCCTCGACCAAATGTGACACTTGAGCCTTTCTTTTCAAGTGGGACACCTTGTGGGGTTTGCCCAAAAAACAGGTGTTCATGTGCCAATCGGGTATGGCCTATCCCGAAACGAGTGAGCACGATCCCTTCCTTGCGTTTCAGACCTTGGGTAGGCCGTCGCTCAGTTGTGCTCTTGACAATATAATCATATAGATAGAGCTTCTCGGACGACCCGTCCCATTGACGCTGCCTTCTTTTATTGAGTTCTTTACTGCTTTACAGTGTCACTGGGCCGTATAGGTGTGGTGCTGTCTGGAGGGCAAGACGCCCCAGCTTTCGCAGCCTCGTCTGCACGTTCGTTGCTCTCCATCCGTAACCAGGTACCCTGATGACTACCATCGTTTTTCCGATGCTCTCCAACTGGCATGCACGACGAGAGGGTCTGTCATTAATAGCTAAAACCGCGCTCATGGAATCCGAAGAAACGATAGGCATAGCCTCCTCTGTCTCGAACCCCGAGTTTGTGTAGACGCAGCAGTACTGCACAAAGTTATTAATAAGACTACTTAATTACAACCTGAGGGACACTTATACATTAATTGGCGATAACTGGCCATTTGAGCATCGTTTTTTCCGCAGAATCTGGCGTTACAGCATAATTAAGTAAATTAAACTTGTTAGGTCGGGAAGTACAAATAATGAGATAATAATGCTGGGCACTGGGTATAGTACGATTGCAACCTTGATGCACACTTTGCGGTGAATCTAGATGAACTACACGTCTGATCATTAGAGCTGTATTGCTTCTTGCTAAAAAATTCATAGCAAGAGTAAAAGACTGTAACTAGATGTTTATTAATATTTTTTATTCTGTGCAGAAATATCTTCTATCTTGCAAGATTGTATAATGGATAAGCATGGAAGAGCCCACTCTTGAAATTTTGACATAATAATATTGGACCTAGTGTGAAACCTTGGGTAAAATCTATGATGAATCGAGATGAACAAGTCGTCAGATCATTCCTATTTACTATCATCAGAACTATATAGTTTCTTCAGTTAGGACACAAGTATGTCTATATACGGTCATAATAAGTGTAGAACCTAATATCCAATCTTGAGGAAACTTGTACGTTTATAGGACATGACCTTAAGGACACTTTAGACATGTAGTGACTAAATTCAGGGCTTGTTTTTTCTTTTGTTTGTTGCTCTATGTACATAACTTTAACTAAAGTAAGATAGTAGCAGGATCAGGCGCCAAGTTAATAAAGAGGTAATAAGGCTTTGCCTAATACATAACCTTGAGAGACATATAAGCAAAACATGGCAGTCGAACAAGAAAGTATTCATTTTTATTTGGGATTTTTTATTGGTGAGATTGAAATGTTGGAAAAAATAAAGGCATAACTGCATTGTATTAACGATTTCCCCCCAAAATTATTGGAGTTATCCTGCTCTACCTCCTCTAAAGGTTTGAATATTACTGTTTGGACAAAAACAAACAAAATTAATTAATATCACATCCACTGTGTGGGAATAAACAAAATTTCCAAATTGATTCATAATTTTTCATATATGGCCATGTCAACAGGTAGCCACGGATTGGTAATCTGAAGGGGCCAGGTCGGAACTGATTGCTAAATAAGGATATGTCCTAATTTCTAATATATTAGTTAAAATAATTATAATTAATTAATTGAAAGAAGTTATTTGGTCAATCGGACCACAAAATTTAATGAGAAAATTATAATATTTAGTTAATGAGACATTTGAGATTTTTTATTTAAAGTACGAATTTATCGGTAAATTGTACATACATGTTTTTGTACATTTTAGATGTAATTTTTTGTCACATATAACATCAAAATTTCAGTATTTATGTATATCTTTGTACCAAAAAAAAGAAAGAAAAAAAAAAAGAAAGAAACTTATGTAAGGAGATGGCATATTTTGCCACACCAAGTATGCCCCATGGAGAAGTAATCTGAAGGAGCAAGGTCAGGCCTGTTCCCTAAATAAGGCAATAGTTTAAATTGTTATAGAGACAAATCTCTTAATTGCTAATCTATCTTAAAATTTAATATACCATCGAATGGCAATTATTACATGATAAAAGGAACTCTTGAGTATGAAATATTTCAGGTTAAAGGCTTAGAGAATTTGAATCAATACAAAATTTATTTATTACAAAAAAAAAACACACAGCTTAGCTAATTCTACTTTAAATAAATTATTAACTAATAATAAATAATATTTAACGTTATGTGCTTGTCACATATCAAACTAAAGCTGTAAAAATAAAAATATGCCCACGCTATCCACTTCTAAATTTAAAAAAGTGATAATAATACAAATTTAAAAAAATCATGACTTCAATAGTTTAACTTTGTTGATGAAATTCATTTCTTCTTAGAGGTGTGAGTCATCATGTGTTTCTTCAAATGACCCTGTTGTGAGCATTTGTAGTCACAATAGGTACACATAAATGGTTTTTCGCCTGTGTGGGTCATCATGTGTGTTTTGAGGCTGCCTTGTCGACTGGACCTGTATTCGCACAAGCTGCAGCAATATGGCTTAAAGTCATTGTGAGTCATCATGTGAACTTTCAGGTTGCACTGGTAGGAACATCTATAATCGCAGATCGTACAGGAATATGGCTTTTCGCCCGTATGGGTGATCATATGTGTCTTGAGGCTGCTCTGCTGGGAACACTTGTAGTCACACAGTCCGCATGAGTATGGTTTCTCTCCTGTGTGGATCAACATATGCGTCATAAGACTGCTCTTCTGGGAGCACTTGTAATCGCACAACGAGCAACAGAACGGTTTTTCACCTGTGTGGATCATCATGTGCCTCTTCAAATCACTCTGTCTAGAACATTTATAGCCACAGAGACTGCAGCAAAACGGCTTTTCTCCTGTGTGAGTCATCATGTGTGATTTCAGATGGCCTGGCTGCGAACATTTGTAATCGCACTCTGCGCAAGAAAAAGGCTTCTCTCCAGTGTGAGTGCGTAGGTGGGTTTTCAACGAAAAATTGCTCGTTGAGGCAAAATCACAATCTGGACATGGATATAATTTTCTCTTTTTACCTGTGTTCTCACAGACAATTAATGGAAACTCTTTACCAGTATCAATACTGGTATTCGGTTGAATTTCCATTCTTGGAAGTAATTAACTTAACTTGCTGCCCAGTGAGTCAGAGATTCAGTCTTTAATTTAGATGTTCATATTTTATATGCTAAAACAATCATGGAACTCCGTAATCTGAAACAATTAATTTTCCGATTAAAATAAACTTCTTTTCTACCCTAAAATTCAAATGACAAATAATACTGACAACAGCAATCCAAGATTTTTAAATAAATGTTTACATTTTATCAAATTATTGCAATGCATATATATAAATACATTTTTTTAAATCTAGTGAAGAAGGGTAATAAAGTACTAAGAATAAAAACTTCATTAAAAAAATAATAAAATAAAAAGCTTAAAAGAAATTAAATGAACAAATCAACAAAACAGCCAAGGTGTAATATCTACCACTGAAGAGTAAAATTCGAAATTAATTAATTCTCTAAATTAATAGCAGTATCAAAATGAAACACTTTATCATGATACAAATAAGCATAAAAATACAGTATACATTATTATAAAAATATAACAATAAATATACTCCGGTTACTATTCCACAAACTTTAACTGTGTTCAGCTTAAAATTAATTTCAATGCCTATATTTTTAAACCAAACCGAACCAGCAAGAATAGGCAGACCAAAATGATCGGTAATGACTAAATTACAGGTACATCACCCCACAAGCCATGGACAAATCTCACAATGTAATAATAATATTTTATCAAACAGTTTTTTTTTCATGAGTGTATTCAACTACAAAGTTATATGAACCCTTGGTAACAAACAGTTCACTGGCATTTCTTTTTTTTCTTCTTCTTCTTCTTTTTTTTATCATTATTATTTATTGTTACTGTTAGAATTTTTTGTAGTACAAATATTCGTATTGAAATATTTAATTTATTTCAGGGCCTGATGTACAAACAAGAATAGCCATCTACAGACAACAAGGTGGCACTAAAGGCAACCTTTTGGGATTGCAACAATGCCCCGTCTGACATTGGAGAAAACAACAAAATTACTCTTGCCTGAGTACCAGAGAATACAGTGCAGAGGGGCCAATAAATTGGTTAAGGAAATTTCTGTAAGGACCCCTCGCAGCACTGAACCTATTTACAGCATACCAAATTGCCCAAATCATAGATCTATGTTAACAATAAGTGCTTGGTTCAATGGAGATGTATTCCAGGACAGAGGCATGAAAAAAAGTTCATTAAAGGAGCATTGCACAAAGGGCAGAACTACTAAATCAAGAAAGTTTTAGGACTGCTGACTGGACACTGCAGACTCTAAAGGCATAAGTATAAATTCAGAAGCAAGCCTATGCAGAAATTGCGAATAAGAAGAGGAAGCAGCGCAACATGTCCTCTGTTTTTGCTAAGAATTAGGCGGGCTGATATTCCTACTTGTAGGACAAGAAAAGCCTAGGCCTGAAGGATCTAGGAAAAAGCCTTAAACTTAATGAAGAGCCCTAGAAAAATCCTTTTAATCCTTGATTTTTCCAGCGAATTGAAATATTTTTGTATTTATTTCTGAGCATGCTGAATATAAATGGTTTCCTCCAAAAATCAGAACAGGGGATTCACAGAATCACTACCGTTATCAAGAACAATTAGCATTGCAAGTCAGGTGGCATTCCTACTATCTCTCTGCATGGAGAGAATCGAGAGATGAATTGTCTCTCCCATAGGAAGCCTTGTGGTCTTTCTGATGTAACTTCTGGGACTTGATTTCTACTCAGATTTCAGGGTGGATATTCTGCTGAAAGCCCACCCTCATTCACGCTAATAACGCTCTACTGGTTATAACCTTTCCCGTATGTACAGCTCAAAACTGAAAAGCCACTGGGGTATTTGTATTTCGCCCATGCCTCCCCCTTTTACTTTAAAAACACCTAACCTAAAGCTAACCTAGTTTAGTGGGTCTGTGGGTACTTGATATTCCACCATGACCCACCCACACATACTTAACACTCACGCTAATAAATACATTCACTCGACACAAAACACACAGAAAAACCCTAACATAGTTTGGTGGTCAAACCATTGTTATTATATATATATATATATATATATATATATTTTTTTTTTTNTTTTGGGCTTTTTTATAGGCCAACAATAAACTTAAGGCCATCAACATTCTCATATCCTTCATATAGTTTCTTTTAATTTTTTTTTAAATTTGTTTTATCTTAACAGATTGACTTAGTGTTAAAGGAAATTATAAGTTTTTGTCATAAAATCACAGTTTTATATATTGCAAATATAATTAGATTTTCACATTTCATACCATCTTGTTTGAGCTGACAGATCTTAATGTATGTAAGTTTGCAGTTTTTCATACATACAGTTTGTAGTCTGGATTCACTAAGCTACATTGAACTAATCTCCAACTGATGCGGATATGTCAGTCAATCATTAATGGCTTTAAAAAGAAAGAAAATACTATTGACAATTTTCTGTACTACAATGGTCAGTTTTCAACCTTAAAACCAATATCAGCTGGTACTCTTCAAGGATCACTGCTTTCACTAATTCAATTTAACATTTATTTAAATGATATTGTTGCACTGCACCCGAGTTCTAGCTAGCTAGAGGTTCTCAAAGTGCAGTATTGCCACCCGAGTTCACACGCTGAAAACAATGCATCCCTGCAATTGCACACATAAGGTGTCTACAAGAAATGGCCTCACAACCTCCTTCTAAGGAGTTGGTAGTAAAGTTTATTTAGTGAAGTGTTATGAGAGAATAATATTGTTTGTTTACTCTCCTCAATGTAAAATATTGGTGGACCAGAAAGAAATGTCATTTTTTTTACATTAAATTCAAGATAAATTTTTAACAAATTTTTATTTTTAATCAATGATTTAATTACCCTCATTACCACCAACCTTTTGCCATGTAGTGTGCAAATTTTCATTGCCAGATTGAAAAAAATTCATTGGTTTTTGTGCAAAATATCTAGAGATTAGAAAATATTGTAGCAATTGAAATAAGTAGAAATCTGTCAGTGCAATATCAGGCGAGTATGGAGAGTGAGGCTCCTACCCCAATTCATAATTTTTTTCCAGGATTCGTCTTGTCCAATGTGGTCTTGCATTATCTCAATTATCGATTGCTTTACTAGATCTAATTATTCACAGTAAAAGTCTGCATTCAGTTTGTCCAGTTTTCAGCATTTCAAAATGAACGACCTCACGAATACTCCACCAAACACACAAAAGCACCTTTTTGGGGTGTACACCTGGCTTAGCTATACTGCGTGGCGATTCATTTGTAAAGAGCTGCTGCCTTTTGCATTTTTATTTATCACAGAGAACCCAGTTTTCATCTCCAGTGATCAAGCTATCAAAAAACACTTCTATATTGTGATACTGAAGCAATAAGTTGCATGTGGTGGACCAGTTAGCTTTGTTTTCTTCAGATAGATTATACAGGACCCAAATGCCTGCTCTACTTACTATAACAATCTGCTGCAAATTTTCTTACATGGTCAACCAAGATTAAGAGTATTTGACAATTCTTCAATTGTCTGATATGGATTTTGCTTCTACTTCTGCCCTTAACATGTCATCGTCTAAAGTTGTTGGTCTTCCTGAGCGATGCAAGTCGAAAAGATCAAAATTACCAAATTTCAACTTAGAAAACTACCTTTGGCATTTACAAACGTCTAGTGTGCTCAAACATCTCAAATGTTTTTGGTAGTAGCTGTTGTGTTACTACCCCAGTGAAACTCAAAAAGCATATAATGCCGGATACATATACCTCTTCCAATATTGGCAGGCCATATCACCATAAATTGCAAAAAAGTTGAGATTTAATTGTTTTCGAGTAAAGAAGTCATTCTAATTTTAAAATGTCATTGCACAACTTTGAAGTACACAATGAGCTGATAAATGACAAACGAATATTGACATGGGCAGAAACGACATTACTTTCCAGTCCCCCCCCCCAATATGTAAATAGCTGTAAATACATCTGTGTTCATCAAATTACCTACTGCAATAAAAAATTGACCCTCGTGATAGTCCCAAACTCACCCCAAGCATTGCAAACTATGATAAACTGATTAAGTAACTACTGTGAAAAATGGGGGCTGGTTATAAATAAAGAAAATGAAAAATCATGGTTTGCAGAAATGGAGGGAAATTAAGCAAGAAAGATGGTATTTAAATAGTCAATAAATACAAACACCTGGGAATATGGCACACTCCACACCTATCACTAGGTGTCCATTGTAAAGAAAATGTTCGAAAGTCAAAGCAGGAATAAACGCCACATGGAGACACCTATAGGTAAACAGGAGGTACCACTCCATATTAAATATTCTTTGTTTGTCAGAATCTCAAGGAGCCTTCTTCAGATGTCTGGTACGGGGGGAAAAGATTGTGAATCCATAGAGGCAACACGTAGATATTTTTTAAGAAAACTTTTTATGCTCTCAACCAGTTCCCACTATAGGAGATGGGTTGTAGCACACATTAAAATGCCACCTATACTATTTAAAGATAATTCAAAATACGCCCGAGAAAAGATTCCCCAAAATCCTCCTAAACAAAGCTATCAGGAAGGGTGTTTGGCTGAAGGAACTAAATCAAATAAATTTGATTTATCAATCGATTTCTTCAACCCATTGAATATGTCTGATGGCGAAATAAAAAATACCTTTAAAAAATAAATACAGTCCAGATCAACTTAAGGCAAAGGTACGACAGCCCCTTTCGTTACGGGAGGTATGGTATAAAACTGCAATTTCAGAAGGGCGACTATTTCAACATTGAAAGTTTATCGCAATACAGCTGTTCAATGATTTTTAAATGTAGGGGGAATGCATTCAATAATTATGAACTCTTCCAAAAATCTGCTCACTTTACAATATGGGGGGGGGAAGAAGACGTATTCGATTTCCTGGCCGTTTGCCAAATTTTGGCCAAATTTCGACAGATTTGCTTTCAAAAAGCACAGTGCCATCACAAAAAGGTACTTGTACAATCTCGACTGGCATTGTTTGTCCAGATATTTAAGGTAGCTAATAAATATAGAAGGTTTTTATTTTTGGAATTTAATTATTAAGATATGTTTTATTCAAGATGTTGTTGAGTGTGCACCGTTCTTGCTGTGGAACTCCATAATGGTGTTTTTTATAAATAAATATAAGACTTTAGTTCCAGCAGGCTTATTTACATGGGAAGCTTTTCTATTATTTTATAATCATCTGAAGATTATAAAATAATTGAAACCCCTTAACTCACAGCCTTGTTATTTTTTTTTTTTTTTCATATAACACTACTTATCAATTATTAATTGATAAGTAGTGTTATATGAGAAAAAATATATATATAAATAGCAAGGCTATGAGTTAAGGGGCTGAAAATGATTATAAAATAATTGAAAAGCTTTCCATGTAAATAAACTTGCTGGAACCAAAGGCTTATATTTATTTATAAAAAACACCAATATGTTTTATTTATGTTATGTTCTTTGAACTTTATAGAAGTTACTGTTTAGTTTAATGTATATTTTTTTTTGCATACACTCAACTCAACTCACCAGACGGACAATAGTCCATGGTTAAAATGTTTGTAAATATATAGAGGAAAATTGTAAGATTCTTTGGTGTAAATAAACATTATTATTATTAAATCTATTTAGTGGTCTGATTGACCAAATTACTTCTTTCAATTAATTAACCATTTTATGTAAGGTTTTGGTTGAAATGAAAAAGTTAGTGTATGAGCAGGATTCGAACCCACGACCTTTGGCTATGGGGTTTCGAATGGGGGGTAGGTTCGACGTAGGTGACACTAACTTTTTAATTTCACCTTACATAAAAAGGTTAATTATCATTATTAATAATGAAAATTGCATATTGTAATAAAATATTTATAGTTTTTGACCCGTTCACATAAGCCCTCTTCAGTATTGTTACATTAAATCGGATAAACATCTGAACAATGTCTGTATTTAGCATTTATTTATAGTAAAGTAAAAAATGGCAAAAAGGAGGGAAAATTCAAAAGGTGGGGTTGAGATAGGAAGTTGGTGTCCGAGTGGATCGAGGTCACGATAGCTCAAGTGGTAAAGCAGCGGCGTAGCTACCTGAATCGTGGGTTCGAATCCCGCTCATACCATTGACTTTTTTATCTCAACTAAAAACCTTAATTAATTGTAATTTATAGTAAGCTTGTTAACGGTAAACTATAGATAGCCTCCATTTCGGCTTTGTTTCTTTTTTTTCTTACAGACTTGTTAAATCATATATCGTTTTGAATCATGTTACCTATGCATTTGTATACAAAAAACATAATATTTATTAAGCAAGAATTTCATTAAGAGCGATATCAAACTAACAACGTACCATGCACGATGCATTTACAGCCTTAATCATGCTTTTATCTAAGCAAAAATAATATCTGCAATTCTAAAAGAATAAAGAAACCGATTTTATCTTATGAATCAATAAAAACGAAAGATTGATTTTTAAGAGTGTAAGCAAGCAGAAGACATAAAAAAAACATCTAGACTAATCAAATTGCATTCCTCTGATTCATCTGAACACAAATATTTGTTTACATAAATGTATTTATGTTTTGATCCAGTTCACCGCTTTGATGTTCGACATTGAATGTAATAAGTGTTTAAATCAATGAACCTTGATTGCAATTTTTTTAATTTTCAACAATGAATTGATGATACTCACACTTTATACAGAACTAATTTCTAGCCGTTATAACATAGTCACTTATTGCAGAAAGCTATAATTTAATAAGTGTCACTAGCTGAAAGCATCGTGTAAACAAACAAGCCGGCAGGTTTTCACCTTATGCGGCGACGTCAGCATAAGTCATGACATAGCAGACATACCAGTGATTATGGTGAAGCACCACAAGATTTATTTATTAGAATCAGACCAGATGATAAGATTAAGATCTTAAGGTTAAGATCATTAATGATAAGTGTAACATAGTAAAACAAAAGAAAAAAAAGGAAGCAATATAAACTGTTTTTGTCGAACTGAAGGTCCTTCCCCGAAAAGAGTATACACAATCCATTATATTTCGTGGTCCGATTGACCAAATAACATTTTTCGATTAATTAATCTTTACGAAAGGTATTGGTTGAAATGAAAAAGCTAGTGTCACGAGCAGGATTCGAATCCAGACCTTTGGCTCAATACGCCGCCACGAGCCGAAGGTCGTGGGTTCGAATCCTGCTCGAGACACTAACTTTTTCATTTCAACCAATTCCTTATATACGGATTATTTAATTGAAAGAAGAATACACAATAATGATTGAATTTTTTCAAACTAAACAATCATACAATTTTTTGAATTTTATTGTTTTACATCTATAAACCCAACACAAACAAATCAAACAACTAAATAATACATGCTGAATGAAATAAACTGGAAAAATAGATTGGGTGTACTTTCATAAATTATGCATGTAGTATGCATATGTAGACATATTCTGCACAAAGTGATCTTTATTTATATAAAAACTGACACAAGAATAACGTTTTTATTTCTTTCTGCCTAAATCAACAAAAGTAGAAAATAGAATTGAAAAAAATGAGCACAAAACAATGAGCAATTGAACAGTTGATTAAAACTGAATGACAATTTTAATTTTTAGCTTTGTCAAATAAACTTGCAGTGTTTTATTTTTTATTTTTAGCTGGTTTAATTATCTATATTCTATAATATAATGTGTTGTGTATTTTTTGGAGTTTTCCAACCGTTTATTGTAGTGTAATGAAGTTTATTAAAATAACATCCTTGATAAATTCTGAATGTTTAACATTTTTATTCTTAGATTGGTTTCGCTCTTATGCCCTTCTCAAGAAATTTATAAAAAGCCCTTTATAAAAAAAAATATTTAAAAAAATTAATTAAAACATTCACAGTTAGTCTTAAACACTCAGCATTCATCAAGGATGTTATTTTAAAAAACCTCATCAGCTGAAAAACTCAAACAAAAAATGCAACAAACAATATATTTTATTGTACTATTCGCAGTTCTGCTGTTTTCTAATCATAATATCGTAAAAACAGTGATATAAAAATAAAAAAATAAAATTTTAATGTATGAAAGCATTCCCAACCTGTTTTACCGTTTATTTCATTCAGCATTTTATTTTGGTGAATTGTCAATCTGTTTAAATCGGTGCTCATTGATTTCTGCTATTTTTTATGTTCTATCCATACTTCTGCTGTTTTTCAGGCATAAAATAATTTTTTAAAAAGTGATATAAAAATAACTTTTTTAATGTATGAACGCATAACCAATCTGTTTTTAAGTTTATTTCATTCAGCATTTTATTTTTGTGAATTGTCAGTCTGTATTAATTGGGTGATAATTGAGTTGTGCTAATTTTTGTGTTGTATCCATCCTTTTGCGGTTTATAGACATAAAACATAAAAATAATCTTTTTAATGTATAGAAGCATACCCAATGCTTTAGTTTATTTCATTTAGCATTTTATTTTTGTGATTTATCAATTTGCTTTAATCAACTGCTCATTGTGTAGTGCTCATTTTTGTTGTTCTATGTATGCTTTCATACATAATGTATACAAATCCACAGTTACGCCGAGGAATATCGGGTACTCTAGGGTAGTGTGAATGAAGTTTGGTGTGTGAACGTAATTTATTAGCGTGAATGGAGGGGCATATCCGCACTTACCCCAAGGAATATTGAGACCTCTGCGGTAGTATGACTGCGAATCAGACTGTATTTGTATTATTTTATCAACAATTTACAATGCCCTGAGGTACAAGAGGCTAGCAATATGATAAAGAAAATATAGAGTTGGTTATCATTATATTACATCATAATTTGGCTCAGAAACAGGGAAAAAATCAGTAGGTCTAAAACAAGAGAAAGACAAGAAAAGAAAAGGTAAGAAAGGTAGGGATGGCGATCACCAGTAGTTTATCAGCTTAAACTTAAAAAAAGTAATTAGATTTTATTGAGCAGAGAGTAATAAAGTAAATCAACACAAATAAAGTATGCAATTGTGTAGAATTTTATAGTGGTTCAAAAGTTTCTTCACGGTCCGCCTGTCTTCGCTGTTTCTTCTTATCACTATTGGAATATTAACGTCAAACAACCCGTTTGATTCTTCACAAACGATCTATTTAGCCAGGAGAACCTGCTCGTCCCGAGAATAAATAAAATTATTGGGCTAATATTATTCAAATTATCCATTTTATTTTACACAAATTGAATAATTATTACGTCCTAGAAAGAGGCGTTGTAGACCTAGGCCCAGACCGAGGCACCATCTCAAATCCCCTTTGCCTAGATTATTTTTGGATTATGAATAAGGATAAGGGACGTTATTGGCTATTCGCGGTTTTAACTTTCTTTTCCCAGTTATACAGATTTTTAACAATAATATTATATTAATATCGCACTGAAAGCAAGTATTTTGTGTTATTTTTACACCTGAATAACACGTCTTAATTCGTGCATAATTAACCCAAGAATAAAGCTGAAAAGTGTCATAAACATATTTCGTAACACCTAAATAAATTTTTTCCAAATAACATTAGTTAAATGGTTTTCTTTGCAATAATAGGTTTATGCTTTTTTCCAGTTAAAACTAGTGAGAATCTCATCCATTAAAATAAATTCCCATGTTCCACATGATCCAAGGTTTTATTTTATTCCAGGTTTTGGATAAGGCTTGATCTAGTTTTTCTTCTCTTTTTTTGGTTTGAAAGTGGCAACAGCGGAAATGGATTTGGAACCACACTGCAGTCAAAATTTTGAAGCAGAGTTCCCTACTTTGAGTACACGAGACATGTACGAATGTGTTGAATGCGGTTTCGAGACTCAAAGCAGCCCATCGTTAAAATTCCACATTAAGCTCCACATTGACAAAGATCTTTGCCTTATGAGTTTTTCTAAGCGATACGATGTTTACAAATACAGCTTAATGCGTACAGGGGAAAAGCAGTTTTTCTGCAGTGTTTGCCATTATACCTGTTCCTACGAACAAAATCTAAAGAGGCATATATTGACGCACAAAGGGGAAAAGGTTTTTAGCTGCAACCAGTGCGAGTACAGAAGTTCTCGGCACGCTCACTTGAAAAGGCACAGTTTGACGCATACTGGTGAAAAGCCACATTCCTGCAGTCTTTGCGATTTCAGATGTTCCGTACGATCCAGCCTCAAAACGCATATGTTAACACACACAGGGGAGAAGCCGTACTGCTGCAATCTTTGCGATTACAGATGCTCTCAGACTTCGCATCTAAAGAGCCACATGTTGAAGCACACCGGAGAGAAGCCGTTTAATTGCGGTGTTTGCAGTTTTAAATGTTCACAACAGTCGAGCTTGAGGAATCACATGCTGAGGCACACACAAGAGAAGCTGTATTCCTGCAGCCTGTGCCGTTATAGATGTTCAAGACCTTGCAGCTTGAAAAGCCACATCCTCACACATACAGGAGAAAAACCGTTCACCTGCTCGTTTTGCGATTACAAGTGTTCACAACAGTCCCACCTAAAAAAACACATGATGACCCACACCAGAAAAGCACTCTTTGCCTGTCTAGTCTGCAGTTTCAAATGCTCTCAAAAATCCATTTTGAAAAATCACCTGGTAACGCATTCAAAAGAAAAATCCTATTCGTGTGACTTTTGTGAGTACAAAAGCACACAACAGTCTAAAATCACAGCTCACATGGTTGTGCATAATGGAGAACAACTTTACACGTGTTCGTTTTGTGATTACAAGTGCGATCAGAGATCTAATTTGAATGTACATATATTAATACATTCAAGAGAAACCCTTGTGTCATGTGAGAAGTGTCATTATAGCTGTGCTTCATTAGACTATCTTCAAAAACATCTCATGACAAACTGTCCTGAAAATTCTAAAGTGCAATGTTAAAAAATTTCAATTTCTAGCATAACCACAATAATTTAAAGGACAGTGATGTTTTGAGCAACACATAAGAAATGGAAATTTATATTTCTCAATTAGAAAAAATCTATGAAGAAGGAAAGAACAAAAACTAAAAAGACTGAAGTAAAAATAAATAACAAATAAAAAGAAATAATTAAATTATTGGTTGAGGTGTAATTTAAAAAAAATTAAGTATGTACCCCTTATTTATTTATTTAAAAAAGTTAAATATAGTAAAATTTGTAATTTTAACCAATAGTTTGTTCTTTACATAAATAATGTAGTGTGAACAGTAAGAAGGTTTTTTTGTTATATTTGTAATGAAGAGTTGCAAGTGAATATTCTCTTAGTAAATAAAAACAAAAATGATTATGAAATATGATTGTATTTTCAAAATATAGTTTTAGAAACGGACTTTCAATTTATGTTTGAACCCTTTACTGTCTTTTAGTTGAAAATAGAAACTGTAAATGTTTAGTGAACTATGTTGAGGTTATAAGCAACTAACATGCCAAAAGGTAACTATGCCAAAATGTAGATTAGCTACTAATTTGATTTTTTAACTACATCTTCATCAGTTTTGAAACATTACGAATATATTCCAAACTATGTAAGAAAGATAAAATAATGAAGTACATTGTAAAATTTAGTAAAATTAATAAAATAGAATTCTCTGGAAGAGCATGCTATACAAGACCTACACTTCAAATAATATAATTAGCAGACTTTATTGGCCCTGAATTCTTTTGTGGCATACCAAATTGCCCAAAAACGCGGATCCATCAGACTATGGAATAAAAATAAGTCATTAGTTCAATCAGAATATAGCCCAGGACAGTGGCATGTAAAAAAGTTTATCAAAGGACCATCACAGAAACTAAAACACTTTATCTAGGATGTGCTAGGACTAGAATAATAATTGGACTGCTAAATAACTGTACACAGCAGACTTTAGAGGCAAATGTATAAACTCAGAGTGGAAGAATCAAGCCTGTGCATTGCCAGAAAGGAAGACTGCAGAACGTGTCCTGTGTTTGTGTAAAAGCTTATGTAGGCTGAGATTCCTACTTTTGGGAAAGAAAAGCCCAGGCCTGAAAGATACACGTAGGAGTCCTTGAAAAAGCTTTAGGATCTGGTACAAAGCCTTACGTTTAATGAGCAGACAACAATGTAGATGTACAATAGACCAATACTGTGCACAGGTCAAGTAGGCTGGCTCCTCCTATAATCTATTTGCCTATTTGCACCATCTGTTTGTTAAACTGAGTGCTTATTGCACCCTCTCTGTCATGAGTACTGCAAAGCATAGATTTATGATGAACATGAAGTCGCTTGCGTATCCCAGGCAATTAAAGCCCTCATTGTATATCAGTTTGCGGAAGTCAACAACTACAATAGTTGTGACATAACACCACCTAGTTAGTTCAATATGATGAAACCTATCCCAGCATTATGTGCATTCTGAACATAAATTTGGTTTATATGCTAAAAATTACGCCATGGGTATTATTGACCAAACAAGTCGTTGTTTGTATGTATGATGTAACTTTGTCGCAATGTATGTTTACTTAGTTCTATGGGTGTTTTAGCGTTGCGTAAAAATTGACTAAAGGAGAATTTAACTTAATGCATGTTTGTTGGATAGGGTAAAGTGAAGTTATATGCAACTAGGGTGCACTCTGTGTTTATTTTTTGCATATGAGTAAGAAACTGAGTTCAGCATATAACTTTTTGGTTTCGTCACTACTCAGCAACCTCCTTGTCGAGTCAACAAGCGGTTTTTATGAGATTGCCTTCCTGATGCTGTTACTGCAAGCACAACACAAACAACCGGCTTCGACTCTCCAACGTCGTTGGAGTTGACTTACCCATAAATAAATGATATAATTGAAATGGATTATGAGTTTAAAGTGAAAACGGCCAATGAAAGGGCCAAAGTCGAAGACCTGTTTGACTACGAGGGCTGCAAAGTGGGCCGAGGCACTTATGGCCATGTCTACAAAGCTAGGAGGAAAGATGGGTATGTAACTTAAAAAAATTAATAAAATGGAATAAACGATATAAAATTGACTTTAAAACATTTTTATCAAATAGAAAAAAATGGTAAAAATTTCCTCTCTTTATTAAACATATAAAAGTCAATTTTATGTCCAAAATGTACAAAGTTAATTGTCTTACTCGGCATTGCTAATAATTTTTTACATTTGCTTCCAACATTTTTATCCTTTAATGAATATGTTATTTATTGACATGTTGACTTCATTTCACATTAAGTACAGCTTGTATAAATAAATTGATTTTTATAAGGGTCTTTAAATATTAAAAAAAAATTGTATATCTTATTTTGTCAATATTAGCCAGAACGATTTTTGTATTGTTTTATGAGAGAAGAGGAGCTTAAAAAAATACAAGGGGTGATGGTGGGAATATTCTCATGACTCGGGGTCTACGAGCTGAGAGTCTGACATGCTGACCACTCAACTACCGCATTCCCCTGTTATAGGCTTTGAATTCAGTCCTTATTTATATTTTTATATTCTTCTTTGACAACTTATACAAAAGGTTTAAGCCAATTTCCAATATTGAATGAATCTTTACTCAATGAGATAGGATCCTTGCATTTTAAGGCCTTGTGCTGCATAAAAATGATACAAAACATCCTGTACCTCTGTGAAAAAGTAAGATTCCGTAGAGATCCCTAACAAAACTCCTCTGCTCCTATTTCGTAGGAAATATTTTCAGCATACCAATCCTTTATTTTACTCCACTCATAGTCTTCAGAAAAAGCCGACCATTTTCTTGTTAGGAAGCTGTCATGAAAAAGAATTCACAATCGCAGGCTGACATTGACATCTTAGAGAATTGACAATTATGAAGGACATCTGTATAGTCGTTCTTGAAATGAGAGTGTAGAATTTCACAGAGATTTTTAATCCAACATCTCTGCTCTATCTTTGAGGGTGAAGTTCCAGGACACCAATTCCTTTTTCTTCTCCAACAAAAACTATACTTATAACATCAAAAGTTTACCCTAAACTTACCCAATTTACAATTATTTTTGGGCATCAGCTATCAAAAATTCACTTTACAGTTGCAAGTTGTCATTGATTTTACATCAAACTTGCTTTATTGGCAAGTGCACAAGCTAGCATAAAACGCCACGTTAACATAGATGTTTCGGACATGTTTTAATGTCTTATGACATAGAGAATTGACGATTATGGAGAATATGCCCTGACATTTCAATAAAAATGATTAAAAAAACCTCCGTTCAGTAGTTCTTGGAATGTCAGTATAAGATTTTGTAGAGATTCTTAATTGCAGGTTTACATTGATTTTCTGACATATTATAATGCTTTATGTAATAGAGAATTGTCAATTAAGTATACCCTTAGGAGAGGTTTTTTGATCTTCAAGCCAATCAAAACCCTCCTGTAAAATTCCATTCAGATTCATCCAACACCCCAATCGCATTTTTGTGGGAGAAGTTTCAGAATACCAGTCCTCAGGTATTCTACAGCCATCAGTCTTCAGTCAAAATTTATACTTATAAATTAAGGCTTTAGCCCAAAATTGCCCAATTTACAATTAATTTTGTGCATAAACTGGCATAAAAAGAATTCACCTTATAGTCACAGGTCAATATTGACATTTTTGTCAAGTTTCAGGGCCTTATGCCATAGACAATTTACAATTATGGAGAATATACCAGGATTTCAAAATGCTGAAAAACCTTCCAAACAGCTATTCTCGGAATGCCAGTGTAACATTTCATAGAAACTCTTAATCCAACGCCTCATCTCTATGGAAAAAGGTCCCAGCATACCAATCCTCTGTTCTTCTCCAACCAGTCTTAAGGTGAACAACATACTCATCAGCCAAGATTTTACCCCAAAATTGCTCATTTGATATAATTTGTATTGAAATTTAATTGCACCTTAAATGATGCAAAGTATATTTATTTCATGGCAGTGAGAGACTTTAAATAGAAAATTAAAAGTGACTTGTAAAACGCAAGCTTGATAATAAAAATTCATGGTAAGGGGTGCCAGTGGCCGCAATGGTTTAGACATTGACACGGCGCTCATCACTGTAAGGTAAAAGTCCCAGGTTCAAATCCAGTGGCCCTGCATTCAAACCTTACTTACGAATGAGCTTTTTTCAAAAACACTGGCACCTGGAGGGTTCATAAAAAAAATCATGGTTACTTCATTACAAGGAGAATACATCAGCCTGTGTACATTTTTTTAAGCTGAATTAATTTAGAGAAACATTTTTTGCCCACTTTCATTCAGTTCTGATTTGTTGAAGTATGAGAGATAATAAACTTATAGGTCATCTTGAACTGCCCATTTTTTTTTTTTTTTTTTTAAATTTGGTCTATCATCATATGCAATAAAAAAGACATACATATGCATAAATCAACCACTGAAGATGACAAAAATTGAAATGCTCCAGACTGACAAATCCAAATAGATCAGCAGGCCAGGATGATCAGACATCGCTAACTTATAAATTGTGATTTTTTCAGCAATTATTGTGCCATGTTTATTTAGCTTTATAATAATTATTTATTATGTGCAGATCTGACACCAAAGATTATGCATTAAAGCAAATAGAAGGAACTGGACTTTCTATGTCAGCTTGTAGAGAAATTGCTGTAAGTGTAGTAACAAATTTAATTATTTCTTTCACCTTGAATGGAGGACAAAACAGAATTTCACCATTACCCTAAATATTTTCAGATTTATAATAAACTGATTAACGATGATGTTTTAAAATTTTAGTTATTGAGGGAGTTAAGGCATTCAAATGTCATTACGTTAATTCGAGTTTTCCTTTCACACAATGATAGAAAAGTATGGCTACTTTTTGATTATGCCGAGCACGATTTATGGGTAATTTAGACATTTTAAACCAACAAGTCTCAATTTATTTTCTAATTTTTGCAAATTGATTTATGTTTTCAGCATATAATTAAGTTTCATAGAGCTGCAAAAGCAAACAAGAAACCGGTCATGGTACCTAAAGGAATGGTCAAATCTTTATTGTATCAAATCCTCGACGGTATCCACTACCTCCATTCGAATTGGGTTCTACATAGGGATCTTGTAGGTTGAGTCGGTTTTCTCCACGTAGGCCATCAATAAATTTCAATTTATTTTTAAGAAACCTGCCAATATTCTTGTAATGGGGGAGGGACCAGAAAGGGGCAGGGTGAAAATCGCTGACATGGGTTTTGCTCGACTCTTCAATGCCCCATTAAAACCGCTCGCAGATCTGGATCCTGTGGTGGTCACATTTTGGTACAGGGCACCGGAACTTCTTCTTGGTGCAAGGCATTACACCAAAGCAATTGGTAAATTTTTTTATTAAAATTGAAATTAAAAAAAACAAAAAAAAAAAAACAGGATTTCATTTTTTGTAGATATTTGGGCCATTGGGTGCATTTTTGCAGAATTATTGACATCAGAGCCGATTTTTCACTGTAGACAGGAAGATATAAAAACTAGCAACCCTTATCATCATGACCAGCTTGACAGGTTTATTTTTAAACAGTTTTAATTTATAATTGTACAAACAGAGTGTATTGTATATTTGAATGTTTCAGAATATTCAATGTTATGGGATTCCCTTTGGAAAAAGATTGGGAAGATATTAAAAAAATGCCTGAACATCCAACGCTGTTAAAAGATTTTAAACGATCAAAGTATGGTTCCATTTTTGTATTTATTTGATAGATTTTGAGTATATTTCATCTTAGAGTTAAGTTAAAGTTTTAACTTGGATATTATTTAAAACAATAAATGCTCAACTACATACATATAAGTACAGAAGCTTATGACTTCCCAGGCAAACTGTGAAAATACCCACTTTGCTTTTTTTTTTTTTTTTTTTTTTTTTTTTTTTTTTTTTTTTTTTTTTTTTTTTTTTTTTTTTTTCCAGCAATTGACCGAAAATGTCCACCATTGGCCTGATAATGCCTCTTCAGATCTTCAGATTTTCACTTATTCCAGGCTCCGAAAAGTTCAATTATTAAGAAAAACTTTACTTTGCTTGAGGACTTCACTCAAGTAGGGTGGTGGAGTACATTATATTCCTCCATTTTATAACTATCCTAATTGAGGTTCAATGGGTACTCAGTATACTCATACTCTATATTACATATTCATGCTAATCAATACATTCACTGTCAATTTACAAACATGATATCTAATTATATTATGTACACTAAAACAGCCCAGTTTCCTCCATTAAACATGGGATGCAAATACTTGCTGGCAAGCATAATTCTACAAGCTGGGCTTTGGTCCAAAAGTAAGTGTCTGCATGTAACTTTGCATGGTCTATTCTTAATGAGGCTGATCCCTCTTCTATGGAGCTTCTCATAAAATAATAAAGATGGGGTGAGTATGTTGATTCACTTTTTGTAAATAATGGTTCGACCATACAAAGTAGGAGTTTCTCTGCCGATGTGACCGGTGATTCTGCCATTTCCTTTCGATCACATTTTTTTTTATGGTTTAATTGTAGTAGTTATGCTATATATGAACAATTAATTTATTATTATTTTTTCCAGTTATTCAAATTGTTCATTAGTTAAATACATGGACAGGCATAAAATAAAACCAGATTCTAAAGCATTCCACCTTGTAAGTATACAATATTAGTAAAAACGGTGGCACGTTATAATTGTAATTTTGAAATTCAGCTGCAAAAATTATTATTGATGGATCCAAACAAAAGAATCACATCAGAAGTAGCAATGCAGGATCCTTATTTTCAAGAAGACCCTTTACCAACGCAAGAGTAAGTTAGCAATAATCATAAAAATAAATAAAAATATAATTTTATTTATTATTTTAGCGTGTTTGCTGGGTGTCCGATTCCGTACCCAAAACGAGAATTTTTAACAGATGACGATCAGGATGATAAGTCAGATAAAAACAATACACGACCAAATCAAACTAATAATGTAAATAATTATTTTAAACAAAAGTACATTTAATCTATGGAAAAATGTGTAATTTAATAAATTTTAGGGTGGTGCTGGTGGTGGTGGTCAGTCTGACCAGGGAAACAGTCACGGCCATGGTGGTCCTAATGCAAAACGTGTCCGTCTCTCCGGTCCGCCTCACCCTTCTGCGGGCAATCCTAATAACATACAACAGCAGCAGCCCCAACAGGAATTCCATCATCAGCACCAGCAGAACATGCTCTTTCAATCGACAACACAACAGCAACCTCAGCAGCAAAATCCAAATTTTCAACAAAGGTTTTGATTTTATAAAGGTGTCATTGTGTCTTTTTCAAGAATGAAATATTTGTTATATGTGTAAATATTTTATAAATTGAACAGTATACAATAATGTGAAACTTTTACACTAGGATCTTGTAAAATAATAGAGGAACAAATAAAAGTAATATAAAAAAAGTTTTCTGTGTTATCTTTAATTGTAAACATTAAATAAAAAATAAAATATGTTTATCAATTTTATCATTCTGTGAATTATTTAAAAAAAAAATTCAATAAAAAATTACATGATACACGTTAATATTTTTTACTCTCTACGGTCAAATTTGTAACATGAAAAAACTTCAGTAATGTGATCTTTGTAAATAAATGAAATAAATATAATTTAAATTAAATGTTCTTATTTTAATAAACTAAAAAATAAAGCAGGTTTTCAAGTTTTCTTTCAATTACCCCTCTATACAATAAACTGTTTACGTTTGATGGACTGTTGTTTTGTTCGAATGTCAACACTTTTTAATCCTCTTCAAAACAAAAATAATGTTTATCATTAGCATTTCGTTACTTGGGTTAATTCAGTCTTTACTATGATGTTAATGCGTGATTTTTTTACGAGTTTAAACTGTCAGAACGGTGCCCAAAAGGCCAGAAACATTAATGAAGGTCTGGGGCGATGGCAGTGTGAGTGGGAGCAACGTTCAGAGATGGTTTAAAAAATTTCGAGACGCAGGCCTTGAAGACAAAGAAGATCGTGGAACATTTCTTCCCTAGATGACGATGTTCTGCGAGCTTTGGTCGAAGAAAATCCCAGAGCAATTGTTCGAGCACTGCAGAGAATCTTTCAGTCAGCGAATCGACCGTCGCTGACCACTTTAAGTCAACTGGAAAGGTGAAAAAGCTCGAAAGTCGGGTTCTTCATGCATTAAACGACCGCCAAAAAAATCATCATTATGAAGTTTGCGCAAGAGACAGAAACGAATCTTTTCTGGATAGAATTGTTACTTGAGATGAAAAGGGGATTTTTTATGAAGCAGCTGTCGTTCTGGACGGTGGCTTAATTTGGGCAGATTTACTTCAGCTTCTTGAATCCTGGCGAAACAATCAATGCCAAAATGTATTGCTCCCAAATTGAAGTAATAAACCAGAAATTGGAATAATTAAAGCCATTTTGAGTCATTTGGAAAAGGCCGATTCTGCTACGGGGCAACTCTCAGCCCCATGTCATATGTGACAACACGAAAACTGTTATGAGGACCCTCCCTTTTCTACAGACTTCTCGCTTAACGACTATGTATCATTTTTTCAGACACCTGGACAACGTTTTGACAACATAAAAAATTTATTAATCAAAAGCCGTTAAAAAATGCGTTTACATAATTTGTTAATAATAAAGCCTCAAAATCTGATGGACAAGTTTTGGCAAAGATCATCAAAATTTGTCTTGTACAATACAATGCAAAATCGTATTCATTCTACATGATGATAGCATATTAAGCTTTCAGACAAATTTTTTTACCGGCCGTTGTTCTTTTTGAACAGAAATTGGAGAGATTAGGATAGTAATCCGGTTTTGACCAAATTGATGGTTTAAAATAGACCCCGGGGCACTGGTTGTCGCACTGGTTTAGAGGATGACACGGCGCACTGGTACACTATAAAGTAAAGGTCCAGGGTTCAAATCTGGCGGCCCTGAATTCGAACCCGACATAGGTACAAATGTTTTTTCCCTTTTTAAACACCGACATCCCGAGGGTTGATATGACCTCTGCTGTTAAAAACCCCAATTAAAATAAATAAATAATGGCTTTATTAGGGAATGGAGCGTTCAGATTTATTTATTCCCAGCCGTTGTTATTTTTAAAAAGAAAATGGCGAGGATAGGCGGACCAGAAAAGATCATGTTTTGATCAAATGGATGCTTGAAAATAAGATGTAGTTATTTATTTTAAAATTTTAATATTATTTTTAAAAATTTATAACCCAATTATCGTGTTTAATAATTAACGGTAAAATAGGGTTTTCATTTTCACCTCGAACCTTTGAAAATATATAAATGTGACTTTTCAACATAAGAATACCGGTGATTATCGCGGTTCGATCTAATCTGACGATCAGTTTTTGACCAACAGTCACATATCAACAAATTTCGTCTTTTTGAGTTTGGGGGGGGGGGTTGAATAAGCATTTTAAAAATCGTTTCCTCCACTGCTCATTTCGTCTAATACTACTCAACGCACAATATTATTCAGTTTGTACGATTACTGAGCTGCGACATTGATTTTTTCCTAAGATGTTCTCTTTTGAAGAGAAATTGGCCAATGTAGGCGGCTCATGCTCCTGAATTTCATGCTTTGAACAAATGAATGCTTGCAAATATCACCTGTTATTAAAAAAATTACAACTTAATATCACTAACATAATTTTTATAATAACAACGATCCTTTAAAAGTATTTAAAATAATTTTTTGAATGCAATAAAGACAAGAGATAACTGTTGGCCACTCACAAGTCAGTCATAGTCAGACCAAGTGGATTATCTTTTGATCAAATTGATGGTCGAGAATATTGTTGTTTACAAAAATTAATAACCCAATGTAATTAAAATAGTAAGGAAAATTTTTATTATCACTATAATACAGCGCAGGAGCGTTTTTAAGACCCTATGAGAGAAATAAGAATAAAATAATTGACTTTTTTAATTTTTTTAAGGCGTTCAATCTCATAGGATCATATTTCGCCTTGATAATTTTTTTAAAAATATGGTTTAAAAAGGGTAGTTTAACCAGAATGGATTGTGTTTTGATCAAATAAATGCTTCAAAATATGATTTAGTTAAAAAAATTATAACTTAATATCATCAAGGACTCATCAATAAACTAAAAGGTATGCTATCAAAGCAGTATGTCGATATTATCAGTTCCTATCTAACTGACAGACTGTTTAGAGTCAAACAAGAAGATCAATATTCAAAATTAAAAACAATAAATGCACGAGTGCCACAAGGTAGCCTATTAGGTCCACTGCTTTACTTGTTATACACCAGTGATTTTCCGAAAATAAAGGGAGTAAAAATTGCAACATTTGCAGATGACACATCGGTGATATCACTAGGACCGACTATCACCCATTCAACCAAAATCCTCCAAAATGCATGTAATAAGATAAACGAATGGACAAAAAATGAAAAAATCAAGCTAAATCAGCATAAATCAGTTCATCTAATCTTTACAAATAAAAAAGTGGACAATGTTCCGTCGCTCACAAGCGATAGAACTTCTATTCCATACAGCGATACAGCTAAATATCTGAGAATGACCTTAGATGCCAAGCTGAGATGGAAAGAACACGTGAAGAAAAAACGGACAGAAATAGGTTTAAGGTATAGACAACTATTCTGGTTAATAGGATGTGGCTCCAACCTTGCTATACAAAATAAAATATCATTATATAAACAAGTCATAAGGCCCATGAGGACATATGGTATTCAACTATGGGGTTCAATAGTGAAATGTAAATCTTATTGTACCAATGGGTTTATAAGAATGTAAACATTTATTTATTCTATAATATTATTGTAAAATTAATGGTTGGTGTAATAAGATCAGTTTTAATAAATAAAGTTAATTAATAAAAAAAAATCTAATGGACACAAATATCAACATAATTTTTATGGTAACTATGATTGTTTAAAAGTATTGAAACGGTAATTTTTTCAATGTAATAAAGCCTTGAGCTATCTGATCGGCTTACTAGGGGAGGCAACGGATCATCAAAATTGATGTCGAGAATATTGTTATTTACAAAAAAATTAATAATCCAACAAATGTAATTAACGGTAAAAGTGTTCTAATTATCACTATGATCCTTTAAGAATGTATAAAATGTGACTTATCAATATAACCAAAGCAAGGAGTATCGCGGTGTATAACGTTCACAGCTCATCCAAAATCGCTTTGTTCAAAGCAATTAGCGATATCAAATTACAAAACAAAATATTATTTAGCCTTGTGATTGAATGGTTGCTAGTAATAATTTTTATAGAAATTTGAGAGGGATAACAGATTAGGGAGGATCACAGTTCATTCAGATTAGTTGGTCAATTTTTGGCCAACAGTCACGCATCAATTAATTTCGTCTTGTTTAACGCAAATAAGATCTTATTCAGTCTCTATGATAGAACGAATTTAACGCACTACTCAATTTATTTAATTTTAAAAAATCCATTATCTTTCTACATTAGTAATTAAGAGCTATCCTAGTCAAAATGAACAGGAAATAATCCTTTGTTTACTTTTGTACTGATTAATTCTATTTGCACAAAAATTAACATTATGCCCTTTCATTCTGCTACGCCTTAAGATCACTTTCATTTATTCTTTTTCCTTCGTTGATTTCATTTGACATTATTCTTATTCAATTCACCAATTTCGTGGTCCGCTTGACCAATTAATATCTTACAATTAATTAAGGTTTTCAGTTGAAATAAAAAAGTCAATGCCATGAGCGGGATGAAGCATACCTTCACTAAAGCTCTCCGTGGCCATTTCATTTGTCGCCGAGAATCGAATTGATTACACGACATTTGAAAAATGGCAAAAAGGAGGGAAAATTCAAAAGGTGAGGCTGAGATGGGAAGTTAGTGTCCGAGTGGATCGAGGACACGATAGCTCAAGTGGTAGAGCAGCGGCGTATCAAGCCGTGGGTTCGTATCCCGCTCGTGCCATTGACTTTTTTTATCTCAACTGAAAATCGTAATTAATTGTAAGATTATTCTTATTCTTAAACCTTTTTCAATGGCTCCAGTTAAGCATTTGACTGAGTATGACAGTGTCAGGGTCATAACATTATTAAAGGAAGGAGACAGGCAGCGCGAAGTCGCCAAGAGATGAATGTAATCAGTAAACACTCTACAATAGGGCTTCACACTAGAAAGCCAGGCCAAATTCAGAGAGATGATAGATTCATCTATCATTCATCGTCATCAGGCTATACGAAACCGAATATTACGGGAAATGAGATAAGAAATGTAATAAAACCGAATGTTTGACTGTAAGAAGAAGACTTAATGAAAATAACCTAAGGGCTCTTTGGATCACAGCTCAGAAAATTTCCAGGCTTCAATTCGCACGGGAAACATGTGAATTAGACAATGGGAAATTGGGGACGAGTTCTTTTCACAGATGAGATGAGAGTTGACCTCAAACCGTCAGATGGGCGTAATTTCATATGGAGACGCTCAGGAGAAAGGTACGCACCATGCTGTATGATTCCTCAGGTGGCAATCCAGGTGGGTCATTGATGTTCTGGGGTGGAATTTCCTTGCAGGCCCGTACCGAATTGG